AGTTCACAAAAAGTAATAGAAAAAGGAAGTGCATTTTTCTTGCAAGTGACATCAAAGAGCTTTTTCTTCTATCACTTTACCATTTTCCAATTTTTGTGGAGTTTATCACACAAAAGCGAACAAATTTAAAACACGAATACTGAGAAGAAAGGGCTTTCAGGAATTGGAAAATTTTAAACGATTGGTGAAATTTAATAGAACATTAGAACGATTTGCGAGCATATAAAAAAAAATTCCTGACTTTCTTTCCTTTTAAATAGAGTGTAGTATTTACCTATTACTCACTAAATAAACGTTGCCTGACACTAAAATAAAAGTTATCATTTTAAGTAATTAATGAAGTTTCAAGTCTTCATTCTTCAGTCTACTACGACTGTCTTTAGCTCGTTTGTATCATCGCACAACTATGGGCTTAAACTTCAATAGCTACCTTACTTGACTTTAATCAATTTATTTCCTATACTAGGCCCGATACTAGGTCTCCACAGTTCTTCGTAATATAAGTTTATGAATTATAGCACTGCTAAGTCTGAGCATCTGACAATCTAAATGAAATAAAAAAATTAATTTTTCTTTCTTCTCCTCTTGACAGAGGTCACATGGATTATTATTAGCGTTATATATAAATCCTCAAAAATAAATTAATAAATATTATTAGTTTATATTAAAGTAATTTTAAAAATTGTTTAAAATTATGCAGAATAGAGAATGTTGAGGAAACTATAGTAGATAGTCAATACAATTACAATAGCTTGTAATTTATATCTTAAGTACAAGTAATTAATATGACCTACAGTTCGATATGCATATTGATATATTTTATCATAATTTATTTATTTTCTCATTCAATAAATTTATTTGTAAGTATTTTAATTATTGTGTGTGTTAAGTCCTCACCATATATTAAACGTTTTAAATTTTTCCCCATGTCCTTGCTCTTAAAACTCTGGCATTGTTTGCAGGAGTACGAGTATTTCGACTGAATGAACCTTTGAGCTTTGTGTGTTGTTCCTGATATCTTCGTTGTTGTAATTCAAATAAGACAGACACTTGGGAATGACTTGGACTATGTGCATTGTTCGAAGGATTTATGATCATCAAAACTTCATTCAGAATTTATTGCTGGGTCACATAATATATTTTTTAAAAGCAAGCAATGAGATACGTTGGTACAAGTTGCGTTGACACACATATAAATTTAAGTCTCTGGCTTACAAAATAAAATATTTTAATGTGATTTTTATTTTATTTTTATACTTTTATTAATATAAAGTCAAGCCTTAAATTGTTAAATCAAGAATATTTAAAATAAGGGATATTTTAGAGTTATATATTGGATATAATAACAATAATAGTAAAAGGTAAGATAATCATAATAGGGTTTTATAGAGATATTTTGTTGAATATGTTATTAAAGTTCACAGTTTTACATTATATATATCGACAAAAAAAAATATTTCTCTTAAAAATAGATAGTCTGAAAATATATGAAATAATTTTTTAAAATGTTTTGTATTAATATTTTTGTATGGAATTTTTCTAATTTGAAAAACCATCAATTTGTTAGCTGTCCATCAAAGCCAAAATAAATTCTAGTTGACATTTTTTACACGAGTGCACAAAATTGATTGATTTTTGTAGTTTTAATTTTCTATTTTTTGCATTGTAATTTCAAAATCGTTTCATGTTTTATAGTTATTTCACAAATTTATTTTACTTCATCAAAATTTATATATTTTAAGCTTTTGCACATTTAAAATCAAATTTCAATAAATAAAATGAATAACAGATATGAGAGATATGAGAGATACAAGAACAACTACTTCTAAGAAATGTGTAATTGAATATTTCAGTCGTTGCGATGTACCGAAAACTTAGAAATTCATTTCAATAAAACTAAAACTTGATATTACCGGTTTATATACTTAGAAACTTAATATACTTAGAAACTTAATATATGTTACTATATCTAAGTAAAACTGCGGTGATGAAGATAGAAAGCTAATCGGTGAAGAAATTGAGATTTTCACACGGAAGTGATTATATAAAGATTCTGTACCTTGAGCTGCGAAAAACACGATTGGAAGGAAAGATGTTAGGACTAATACATTATATCTTAACAAAGAAGAAAGAGAGGTATTGGGAAATTTCTGCCACATAACTGAGTTCACAACAGCATGGCGAGATGATTTCTTTGAATTATTAAGTATTTTTCTTTGGATTTACATTGTAGCCGCAAAAGGCAGAACAGGAGTGGAATATATTAAGCTTGCAAGATTCCATAACAAAAATAGCATTACTCGCATCATTACAGCATATACTAAAATATATAAATCCATCAAGTTTAATCCATCAGTCAACCATTCACTTCACCAATACTATAGCACCAAACTCCAAAAAATTTATTTGCAAACTATCGTTTACATTGCCAAAATCTTGGCTTTTGTAGTTATAACTCACGGAATTGGAAGCGTTGAGTGGCACTTAATAGTTATAACACAGCGAGGTCAGGACACACAGTCGTGCGGTAGATGACAAAATTGCTACAAACCAATTGGATATATCTTGCTAGATTTATGAAGTTTGTTGAACTGATCTGGAATGCTTATATGTACTGCGAACATATTTCATACTCTAAAATATTTTAAAAACAATGCTAATAGCAAAACAAGACTGATGGAGCATTGTCCCATTCTGGGTACCCTACCATATAGCATAAAATATTCATGAATTACCTATTTCCCAAAAATTAATTCAATAAAATTATTGAATTCAGGATATAGCAAAACATGTGATAGTGTTAATTGGCCAGTGGGTACCCATGTCCAAAAATTCGGAATCTTCTACAAACATAAATGTAGAAGGTGAAGGGGAGAATAGAAATTAGAACCATTAAACATTTTCTGTACAAAAACCATGGTCTAGGACTATAAAAGTCTACGAACTAAGAAACCAGCAAATATCTCAAAATAAAGATCTAAAAAATATATACATAATACAGATTTAAAAAATAAACTTCCTATAAACAGCGCAGGTCTATTTTAAAAGTTGGATTTTCTTTACTAAGTATATGGTAACAAAGTGAAGCCCTTGCGCTTTTCAGTGGTTTGCTGGGGTATCCTCAGTCTCAACGAAATCGTCACAATAACTTTCTTAATTGTGAACTGAAAATTTAAAAGCGTAGTTCTTTAACGATTTAATTTGCATTTTATTATTAAATAAATTAAATAAAGTTAACAAATTATGTGTTAATAATATAAGTGAAAATTTATAACATATTTACAAAAAAAACTCATCCTGAATGGTGTCAAGTTACTGCCAATCAATCCGAAAAGAAATAGTTATCCCTGGAACCCTCGGCATGAGATTTTGTATGAATTATTACAGATTGTATTCCTTCTGGCCCTTTGTGCTGTTGATAATGTTTTAATATATTTCTTTCGATTTTTGTGATTGTATATAAAATATTTATTGTGCAGTTGACTTAACACCACCGATTGTCACTATTATTACTATATCACTATATTTTGAAATCAATTCAAAATGTTGTGGTTAAGTGAATGCGGGATGGGTTTCGTGGTTTTCTGTAAGTTTTTATATAATTGTACATATGTATTATATAAATTTATTCAATTTAATTTCATCTATCTTTAAAATTCATGATGTCAGTAATCTATTTTTGGTTCAGTGCTTAGTTGTACATTCCATATGATGTGCCAATAGTGTTGTCTTTTTTTAATATATTTCACATGTTGAAGTTTAGCGTTTATTTTGAATATAGTCGATGCTTACAACTACTTTTACATCCATCCACTTTTTTAATGATAAAACTGTTTGACTTCATCAAATTTAATTATACTTAACGTTCTTGCTATTGGGCACAATCACTCAATACAAGCTTAACTAAACTTATTTCAAAATAATATTAGTTGAAAAAATTTTTTATATATTCAAGATTGTTGGTAATTGAAGGATAATATTTTAGTACCGGTTCTTATCAACTAAAATAATGTGTATTTGCATTTCATAATTACTACGAATATTAGACCTTAGGTACACAGGCTACGTAGAATTCATTTCCATGTGTCACTGTTGCACCTAGTACATTGTGCTTGTCCAGGCTTATGAGGTGTACAAGGTATTTCGTTTGCCAATCTTGCCAGTATTTCTTTTTCTCAGCGAAATTATATTCTTGTGAATACATTGGAGCTTTATCGTTTCTATAATCGCTAATCATTTTGGATATTCTCCAGAATGATATGAATTCCGTGTTGCTTATAAGAACAAGTTGGGCATTGTCTTCAGTAATGATAATAGACGTTATGTCAGTGCTGTGTAAACGTAGTATTCCTACAATGCTTGTGTCCTGTATGTCCCATATCAGCGTAGTACGGTCCTTTCCGCTGGAAACTAAATATCGTCCGCAAGCCGAAAATTTTACACGAACTGCACCGGCTTGGTGCCCTTTAAATATGCGCATTTTGTTGCCATATATGACGTTCCATATTATAACGGTTCCATTGCTGGCGGCACTAGCTACGTAGTTATTATTGGGATGTACGTCAATGTCATAAACTTCTAATTGATCATTTTCAAGAATGTGCATTACATTCTGGCCTTCAACCCATATGTGGACTGTTTTGTCATAACTGCATGATGCTATGAACTTATAATGCGATGGGAAACATACTCGCGAAACTGCAGACGAATGTCCATTGTAAACTCGCAAACAAGTAAATAGTTCCATTGACCATACACGAATAGTTAAGTCATCTGCGCTGGAAACTAATACGTTATTAAATGGCGCAAATTCTAAATTTCGAACAATTCCAGTATGACCATCTAGCACCGCTTTTGATCTATTTTCAATATTTAACTGCTGCCGAATGAAGGTCATGTTACTTTGTTGTTCATCAATAAACTTTTCCACATCAACCAGCACAAAGATACGGTGCTGAACTGCAACGCCTAACATTGTTGCATCCTGAGAATAAGAAGCACAACTTACTATTCCAGCGTTACACTCGACGATGAACATGCGAATATCAGGAATTGCGTTCTGATTAAGCAGTTTTCTGGTTTGATAACGGTGGAATTGATCGTCTTTAACCGATTTCATATAGTCAGCCAGTGTAGGAGGTACATGACTTATCAACGGTGCGTAAGCTAAAAATTCAGTGAAAGCCGTAGTACGCATTCCGATGTCTCTATACAATTTCAACGAATTGTAGAGACAACCAGCAAGAAGACCATGCTTGATAACTTGCGAATTTATAACATCAATCAATTGTTGATCAGACACTTCGTCGTCCACTACATCGCTCATCTGAAAATAAACATTAAGAATAAGTCCTGATCTAAATGCGAGCCTCTATTATAGTTATAGAATCGCACTATATGAAACAAATCATAAAAAGTGAAAATATTAAAGAAATTTTTCACGATTTTGATAACTTTGAAGTATTCAGCGAACAGTTGATAAGGCATATGTGCTTTAAGGGCACTTGGTTTTGAAATCAAAATTACACACTATTTCTATAAACTTTTTGCTTTTATATGAAGAGCCAGATTGGCATTCATTTAATTAGTTAATAACTCCATCTTACCTTAGCTTCGGAGCAATTATCAGACATTTTCGATAATAAATTAAAATTGGAAAAAACAATTATATGAACACTTGACTCAATCAGAATAGACTCCGTGCGCGGATTTGAATGTAAAGAACGGAGTTGCCAGCTTTTTGTTTCTCTATTTAAAAATTTAAAGCAATTGCAAACTTACAACATTGCCATATGGATAATAAAAATATTTAAAAATGTGAGAAACTTTAATTTATGCGATTTCGTTCACACCATCCCAAAACCATGAGACTTTATGTTCTAAATTCTTCATAGTAATCAACAAATACTAAATATTATGCTGGAAACGGAATGAACACGAAGAAATAATAATTTCTCCAACTATTCTTTTATGTACAAAGGAATAAAGAAATGGAGAAAAGAAAACTAATTTAAAAAAATATAAATTAAACTAAAAAATATATGTATATCTTGGCTTTTGTGGACGGAAAAAGTCTTCGCGATCTAAAAGAGCCAACTGTTTCATTTTATTTTATTTGCACTAAATAAAGAAATCTCTTTTTAACACAATTGACAATGAATAAACGCATTCTAACATTCAAGATGTTTCCATATAATAATTTGTAAGTTTGAAGTTGGGGAAAAAATATATAAAATATTTGATTATGATTACTATTAAGACATAAAAATAATGCATATATAGAATTGAGTATCTATATCAAACGAGACATATAATCAGAACAGTCATTAAATAACATTGGCCTGGTCTAGATAAACTGCTGTTAAACAACTAATCACTGCAACACCAAGACCGTGGTTGATATATAACATCGATGGTAGTCATGTCTAATTATTATGTTTTTTTGAATACACGCCAAGCACACATTTAACTGCCAATGATAAGTGTTTTGTCTATATAGTTCAATTTATAAAAGATAAAGTAAAAATAAATTATAGTATATTATAGACATTATTTTAGGTTCCTGTTAAGTGACTGTAATTAACATATTTTTTATGTTAATGCATTGCAAAATAAATTCTCTTTAAAGTAAAATATGAAACACGATGGCATCCTTCAGGAAAATATCGACTACTTTGCTTTAGTATTTATGTGTAACTTAAAAGTGTTGCCCATTAATTATTTATTAGGGATATTCACTCTCTCTTGCAAGGAGCACAAAATGCAATAATGCTATACGAAAACTGCAAGACTGAGAGAACACCTCTGCTGCAAATTTGCATCATCAAAATGAATCAGCTGTTTTTCCAGCCGTATCACATTGAGCAAAGAAAAATAGAAGTATAACAAAGCCGCGAACAAGTGAAATACAAAAACGTGTAGAGATTTTAATTGAAAATAGTGCTTTTAATATTCTGAATGAAGGTATTTATGGTACATATAACATATAAACTCTACTTCCTCCTGCAGAAATTCTATTATTTGGAGCACTACCCGCTTCGTGCACTTCTTGTGCGTCTGCAACCCTTTCTTTGCAGTTGCTGGTGCTTCGTCTTCCACTTTTACCTGATATATCTGAAATAATTAGAAAATTTTAAATAACCAAATTTGTATAATATTTGAACAAACTTACCTTTCGCTACCAGACTTAAGTATAAAACTGAGAAGCAACAAATGTCAAAACAGCTGATTTCTGCCATTTTTGTTTTGTTGCAAGCAAATGTTTTGTTCATAGGTTTTAGTATAGGAAGATTGCAAACAATTGCACGAAACTTTGTGCGTGTATTTTGTTGTTGTTAATTGCATGCTCGTACAATTTGTGCATTTCGTGCACCTTGCAATGAATTTGCAAGAGAGAGTGAATACCCTCATTGTATTTTTTATTTTTTCACCGAACTTTATGTCGGTTTTATGTTTTAGATTGCTGTAAATGATATTAAACTATTTTATATTTAATATTAAAAATATGTAAAGTAATAAATTTTTTATTTCCAAGAGATTTCGGTGTTAATATTCCAGTATTATTTGAATTGCTGAAATTACTTGTTACAATATGATTTTATTTCATTCATATATTTATTTTCTATGTGAGAACTTTATACTGAATATTTAAAAGTAGTTCTATCTCACTCAGTTAAAGTTAAAGCGCATATGAAACACTACTTGTTCCGTTTTCCCTGCAATAGTTTCTTTCTGTGGAAGTCTACGTATATATTAAAAGCATACGAAAAAATAACACAAGAATGCGCATGGAAGAGTACGAACGAAATAGATGAAGAAGAAGGAAATACAGATGGATATTCAAATGTTAAATTATATATTTGAGGTTACTTACTAAACTAATAAAGTTTTGAAAGAGGGCATATAGTTTGTAATAAAAACACTTTATTCATACCTTCTATTCTATCTACTGAAGTTTCTATAACCTTAAATTAGAACAATTTGAATTTAGCTGAGTTTTTAGTCATTTCTTTATCACATATTTCTGATCTGGAAAGAAATCTCTATGAGAAAAAGCGTTTTAATTTTTCAGGGAGCACCCGATCCCATCGCCTTAAAGCGATGTGATAGAGAATACATATGCAGGAGCACCCGACGTACCAAAATAATGATCCAGAACATTGTCAAAAAGTTTTTTAAGAACACAGACTATACAATAGCAACAAAGTCAGAAGTTTGAGCAGTTAATGAACATTAAAACAGTATTGTGGAAAAGGTAGGTATATATTTTTTTGTTCAACATCGTGCTCGTTTCCTTCTATATTCGTATGGAACCTAAACTAGATTTCCTTTTAAACTAATACTTAATAAGTGGATAAATTACTTACATTCGTAAAATATCATGGATTAGATGTTTTATGCACTTTGTATGTAGCTTTAAATGCGTTTGCTAGTATATCAACACCTTGACAAATGAAGACAATTGAATTTTATATTGAATAATTGTATAAAATTATAAATTTTTAACATGTTCTCAGAACTAATCTGCTTTAAGGTATTATCATATCAGAAAAACTTAATTTAATTTTTTATTTATGCAGGACTCAGGATTCTGCATTCATGTAGGCTTACATAGCGCATTTACTTTATGTTCTACTGACAAATAAATTATGAGTTTTGCGGTCAATGCAGTAATGCATTCAATTTTAAACTCTGCACTGATTTAACCAGAATACTGAGCTTATATCTCGAAACTGGATTATTAATAACAATTAAAGACAATTATGCAAATTACTATGGTTATTTGCTGTTTGCGGTCATAATTGCAAGTGCAATGAATTTTAATCGAAATTCCTTTCTAATAAATACCTCATTATAATTCACTAAATTTATTAAATGTTAATATATATTAATTTCACATGCATTGTTCAATTTGTTTGCATATTGAACTCAATGAACAAAAGGATCCTTACATGCCATTTGACTCCATTTTATGCTAAGTTTAAAGCTCTTTATTTAAACGAAGCGATTAGTTCATTATATTGAGATATTTGACTATAAATGGGGTTTTGATTTAACTACAAATTTATATAAGGAAAGCTACTGTCAAAATTTAATCCTACATTTTTTTTCATTTGTATGTAAATAATCTTTGTAAAGGAATTATATTCAACTGCCAATGTCAGTTCAGTACATACCATAAGTTGCAATAATTGAACATATGAATTAAATTAATGACAATTTATTAATATTATTATTAAATGTAGTATATTTAATCTTATTAGTGCACAATTACAATCACTATATCAAAGTCTGAACTTATCCAAAGAGTAGAAATAGGTATGTATATCTCTACAATATTTTGTTGAAGGACATAAATGATTAGAGTTATAAGTATGTGTATTATTTTATGATGATTTAATTACTTCACTTATAACTATATAAGATTCTAAATAATGGCTATTGATGTTAACCAGAGAACTGCAATGAGTACTCAAAACTCCAATTACACTCGAAAAATTGACTGTATTTCATTTAAATACATTCTGACTTTCTTTTTCGCATATTCGACAACATCTGATTTATACAACCAGCTAACAGCACTTATAATGATTTCTACTCTTCTCATATGATACTCATAAACACCCACATTCGACCCAAAAATGATGCAAATGATTTTGTGTTAAATTACGATTTTTTGTGGCTCCTCAGTCATAATACTAAATTAACAAATGTGAACTATGAACTACTACTAAGGAACACTGCTGCTGTTACAAATCTGGATATCAACAGATCTAACATATTCAATTCAAATAATTGCGCAGGATCTCAAATATGTCCTCTTATATTACCATAAACTTATTTCAGAAATAGTTCTTAGTCAAACTATAAGAGTCCAAAATTGTGTAGAAATCTTGGAATTGCATAAAAATCGTCCAAAAGTTATTGCATAGGAGCTGATGCTGAAGACTTGTGCACAAGCCTTAGAAGAAAATTCTCGGAGAGCTTTTGGAATTTGTACTCAGTCGCTAAATATATATGGTTTTGTCATTAGACGTTGTCTATATGCGGAGTTATATGCATTTAGAATATGAAATAAACATTAATTACTGTTAATTAATTTAGAAAGATTTATATAAGATAAAAATATTTGAAAAAAATACGCAAATTTTCCTATAATATTTTTTAAGAATTTCGTACATTATGTTTTAAAGAGTACTAATCTTTCTTTTAAATATTTCAATATTTTTTGTAAAACGTATCTCAAATGTACAAGTATTCCTTAACTAAATGAATTATCTTATTATCTTGTACATTCTACGAGTTACCAAAACATTGATCAATTTTGTTATTAAAGTCAAATAAATTTATAGTTTCACACCAAAGCATAAGTGCTTCAGAGGCTTTTTCTCATAAATTGAATGACATGCTTCACCTCTTCATATGTCCGTATACGTAATTGCTATAATAAAAATATTTACTCCTAATCTACTGTGCATTGTAAAGTGTTACATCTTATTAAATTACTACCCTTACGGGAAGGCCTTCGTTGGAAAGTGGTAGAAAGGCCATATTCTTTCGGGACATTGGTCATCGTCATCATCATCAAATTTACGCTTCAGCACTTGTGTGGTCTTGGTATCGTCACGATTAGATAATAACATCTCAAAATGAATGACAGTACATCCATTTTGTGACAAACTCATTTTACCTTTTAGCTTTAATGTCGTTTTTATTTTTTTTTTTGTTTTTTCCTTACTTTGTACATGTTAAAACTGCCCACCGTCCACACTACAGTAGTAATAACAAAAAAGGGTCTATTCTGTGCAATTTAAATTTCAGCCCCTAAGTTGGGACACTTAACACCAATTTTATTTTATGAGCCAAGCATCGTTAGAGAGAATTTTTGCTAAAACAAGCTTATTAAATGGTCGGAAAATAGTAAATTTAATTTACTTTAATTTTGTTTTGTACATTCGCACATATTGCAGCTAATATTAGTAAATAGATAGAGTATAGAAGTCCTGTAAAAAATAATAACTGAAAATTACAGGATTTTGTTAAGTATTATATATGGCATATTGGCATATAAGAGTATGTGCCCGTATTTGAGGTTTATTCCTGATAAAATAAAGAAATTTATATATTTTTAATATGTAAACTTTGTCTGAACTTGTCATTTCGTGTCTAAAGAGGTCAACTATAAAACTACAAGTATCATAAATCCATATCTTTTATAGCAGAACTCATAAAGAATGAATATTGAACTAATACATTAAAAAATTACTATAAACTAGTTTCAATTTTCATTTCAATAAAATTGGAATCAATTCGGAAATATGCTCAGCGTTTTCATTTGGCAATGTAGAATTCTGAATTTCTTTTTTCGCATAATAGATTATTGGTCCAACTTCAGCTAAACTGGTTAATGTTACAGTTCAGAATACTACTTATATTTTTGAGAAAATATTTTGAGCATACATAAAGATATATTTATTAAATGGCTCTCATCTAAGCACATTTGTTCTCCTCCCTGAAGTCTTTGCATTAATATATCGAAGTGGACTTACTTAATCTCCATATCTCATTTCACAAAGTTAAAGTAAGATCAGCTAATGCAAGGTAATCATACAGGTTGATTACCACACCTTTCTTTTGTTACTCTCTTACCATCAAAGCCAAACTTTGATGACGCTCTTACCTCATATTATTAAGTAGGTTGATAGGAAATTGAAATGGATGAAATTTATCAGGTAGAAAATTATGACGTCTGCTAAAGTATCTTAACACTAAGAACAACAAAAATATTTCTAATCGCAATGATTAGAATGACTGCGAATCACATTAAGCAGATTTCAATCAAACATAAACCAATTGTATTTTTGATGGAAACAACCGTGACTTCAATACTGATACTGAAGTCATGTTTAAATCATCAATTTGGCTGACTTAATTTACACTTCAAGTAGTGTTTAGATTTAATATATGACTTTAAAGCGATAGGATATATTTCACTTTAATTTAATATCACATATTATTCCATATTTAGTGAGCTTTTAGTGATTTAATTTCATTGCATTGAAATTCTAAATGTATATTTTTTTCCGTATTGGAGAAAATTTCCACAGCAATTTGGAAACTTCATTTCCGTAATCAAGAGAGAGAGAGAGATGAGAGCAAAAAGGCTTAATACCAAGCAGGTTAGCTTTATCTAAGCCAAAAAGCATGCAGTGAAATAGGTAAACAAGCGCAGGGAAGACTCTGTAGTCAGGGTCTCGAGAGCCGTGATTATAGAGACGGATGATGAAGGAATCAGTGTCCAGCTCATCGAAATAAAGAGCCCCACTTCGCTAAAAAATATTAAATGAATTAAATATTTCGTTCTGAACAAAACTTTAGTGCAAATAGCGATTAAGCAAACACGTTCGACTCTACGTACCGCATAGACTTACTAAAGTTATTTTTTATTTAGTAGAATAATATTTAAAAATAAATTGCGTTATATATTGCACTTAAAAGAATTTGTATATATATACAGTAAATTTATTTTATTTTATATAAATGCCATTATTAACATATCAGTTTTCGTCTTATGTAAAAACTAAAATGAAAAACATACCTGTTCATATCAAGCAGCTGTTTAGACTTTCAAAGTCTGTTCATAATTAGCTGTTCTCAGTTCATTGTTTGCAAGCGCTCAAAGTGGTTGGACGGTTTTATAGCTATAAAGGAAAGTTTTAAGATTTTTAACCCAAACTTCCACAAAAATCGATTCTAAAATGTGTATGAAAATGGGTATAGCCTTTTTACATGTGGCATTTGAATACGATGCCCAAAAAAGAAACATGGAAGCCGTAGTGTGTTATACAAAGGCTATAGATATTTTTTTAGAGGAGATTGACGGTAAATGCTTAAATTTTTTTTATATTGCTTTTATGTTACAACAATTTTAACGTTATATATATCAGGCTACAATAAAGATAAAAAAGAAAAACTTTTGCAACAAATAGAGCAGTATAAACACCTAGTTAAGAAAGTTGAAACGCGTATGAAAACTTTAAGAAGCTGCGGTAACAGCGTTAAGGAGGTGCACATTAAGGATGATGCAACAGGTTACACTTATGACAAGCTATTCGGAAAGTATTTAAACGAAGATGTTAAAGAAATACTAATTGAGGAAAGCTACCTAAGAGAAAAACATCAGGTGTGGTTACAAATATTATATTTATTTATTTTTATTTTACTTATTTCATTTTTCACTAAATTTAGTTGAAAAATCTCGTAAGATTTTTTGAATTGTCAATTAAGAGCTGCCCAGAATGTAGATATATACGTGTGGTAACTACAAAAGATCCAAATCCAAACTCCGAGCAAGTTGCCATTTTAAATGAAATAAGGACGAGCTTAGCCAGAAGAAATGTTCATCTTAACATTGTGTTCAACAATATACATGATCGCAGAATTGTGTAAGAACAGAGCAACTGTGTAATTTGATATCAAGTAGATTTTAATGATCTGTTTGTCTTTTCTATTTTTAGTCTAAGCAATGGATACATCATAATATCTGGAAGAGGACTTGATATTTACAAAAAGAACGATAGCAATTTTGGACTTGGCGTTTGTGACTATTATTACAGGCAGTGCAAACAAACAGACATAACGATTATGCGAAGCTCCGGTTTTACTTAATCAGCATATGCTTTTACTATATTTTTTTTATAAATATTGAGTTTCATCAGATGTATTACGATGTGCTTAAAGAAAACATTCATAAAATTTTTACATATACATTTAGTAATTTATATCAATAAAGATAACATTCATACCAATCGGCAAGTATGCGTTTTATTAATTCTCTATTGCTACAAAGATAAAAACTTTTTCGGGTTTCAAGTATTATTTTTATTTTTAATTGTTACTAATTATGGACATATGGCATTTCAATAAATATATATTGCGCACATGTACATAATTATCTATAATATATCTTTAATATCTATATCTCTATATATATATATATATATAATATATCTTATAAATCTTTGATTATATTTAATAATTTTAAAAAGTTTAGACATGATTACTAAGCGATATAAATTTGTTTTCTTCCTTTCAAGAAAAGTAATACCCTCAGTAACATTTGTATCTTATATACATACATACTTATATGTAAAAACGCAGATACAGCAGAAAACAATATGTCATAATATAGAGAACTGATTTAATAGTGGGTGTATTGTTATACACACAATATTCTGTTGTCAAGTATATCACAAATTAGTTTACATTGAATGATCTTCCAAACTAAGTAGTTATTCCTACATGTGTGTAGGAATGTATGTATATATATATATATATAGATGGGTTGATCAATATTTACAAGAGATTTTAAAAATGTTTTGAATGGAAGATGTTATTCTCAAGAAGATTTCATTTTAATTCCAAGCAAAATCTTCGGAGTGTGGAAAGACAAGATAATGAACCTTCATAGGAGTATTAAAAACAAAAATACAAAGATATGTAATTTGCCTCTGTTAAAAACAATCAGGAATTCTGAAAAGGTACACACAATGGGGCGAACATGTCTGTTCAAACATATAAACAATCGAACTTATTCTTTTATGTATGATCGCTAATATTTTGTTAGTGGAGTCACTGGGTTAACAATCAAACTAATAGCGAACAGAACATATTTTGCTTGGGCAAAACTATATAAAAATAAACTTTAATATTAGAGCAATACGTTTTCTACTATTCTTTGTTATTGCACACCTACTATATGTTTATATATGCGAGGGTAGGTGAGACGATATTGTTGAATGTGGTGCATATAATTAGTTTTTCTGCTTAATATATATGATTGGCTTCATGTGCTTATAATTGCAGAAGTTACTCCAAATTTTTTTAAATTTAGTTTTTGCTGAAATTTAATACTGGCTTCATGCAAAATTATAAGATTTGCTTATTATGATGTTAGTAAGCACCGGCAGTAGCACAAGCATAGTTTTTGTTAGTATAAATGCTATTAATATGACTGGTAGGGAAGACTTTGTTGTGCATTATAGTAGCAACGAAATCATGCGATATATTAATAAACAGTTTTAAATTCTGATTTTTATTTAAATAAGTTTAATAAAAAATAATTATCAACGAAATATTGTTACTTAAACCATATAAAATAGAATTATTAAATAAACTTTGTTACTTATATAATATAAAATAGAAATATTCACTAAATTTAATTACATAACAATTAAAGTTATTTAAAATAAATATATTTATTTATATTAACATTAATATTATTATTTTATTATTAATTTTTTTAAACATTGAAAATTGTTATTATACTAATAATTATTATATAAATTCAAATTTTCACAATTTTATTAATTTATTATTAAATTTTGTACTATCTTGACAACTTTTCAATGTTACTTTGAATTCTTGTTTAAAAGAACTTTTATTACAAAGTCTAATAAAAGATTTTATAATGTTTCGCTGTGGCTCTCGCAAATCGGGTCCTCAAACTAATTTTCGTTAAATAATTTTTTTTATTTCTTTTTTTAACGGGTTTATTAAAATTTTAATGATATTTATTTTGTTAAAAATTTCGAAATGCAAAATGCACATTTTGTAGAGTTCTGAGTACAAATTAGGCATTTTTTTTAAAGATTTTGTTTACACTGTAACCTACAGAGTATGTCTGTACTGGTTATTAAACACCTGTAATTAATTCTCTTTAATAGTTAGTGCGTTATATCAGATTAATCAAACGATTAAAATTATCTCTATTCTATGCTTTCTTTAAGTTTAAACCAAAATATTAAGACACTTTATTTTATAAGCACTTCTATTGATAGTAGATTGTAACATACCGACTTGTTGAAAAGCGTATTCACACTGCCTCCGTAGATCCTTCACATGACATTTTCTGCATCTGCCGGAATTATGTGATACTCTTGGTGTGATATCATCAGTCAAGTAAATTATAATAAATCATTAAACATTTAACTGATTATATGTACATAGAAGAAATTTCCGATGTCATATTCTATTCTGGGGCTGTCCAAACCAGATGCGATCGCGGGCCACTACAAATTTCTGTACAGATTGGTGGGCTGCAAAAACAAATACATACGTTCATAGTTGTTATTATAAATATATTATAACATTATAATAAAATAAAACAATGTAGTTTTATTAGTACATCAAAAGAAAATTTACGTTATTGTAGTATATTAAGAACATGTCGCGGGCTGCACAAACATTAGCCGCATGTGGCCCGCATGAGACCCGCGGGCCGTACTTTGGAAAGCTCTGTTCTATTCTATCATATTTATTGAAAATATTGCTTTAAATATAACGACATATTTTTACATTATTTTTGATAATAAAATATTTGAAGTAATTATTGAACTCTAATTTTTATTCATTTTATTTCATTAATTTTTTTTTTTTTGGTTTCAATTCAATATAGTTATATTCTATCTACTCCGCATAAAATTGCGTTATTATTAATTACTTAATTGGAATTTCATACAAAAAATAATTTTTTTTAACTTATGACTTTTTTTAACAAATATTAAAATTGCGTTATTTTTTTTTTTTTTTTTTTTTTTTTTTTTTTATATTTAAACAAAATGAAGAGTTTAAATTTACAACAACTAGTCATATTGACTAACAAGAGGTTTTTTTTTTATTGCAAGTAAATTTATCTAAGTCTATCTAGGGTGAGCATATAGATACGAACTAGTCATCTCCTTGCTGGTTGAAACGCCTCAAAAGGTCATTAGGTTTGAAGCGGCATAAGCGTCTGTGAGTGACATCACAAAGTAGCGCTGGAATGGTGCTGTTTAAGTGTTGTCTCAGCCTGTCATAATGTTTTTTAGCAGCCTTCTGAATTTCTTGTTTGACAGTAGGTATTTTTAAGTCTCGATGTAGATCAGAATTTCGCACGTACCACGGAGCGTTAACTGCATCTCTGATTGCTTTGTTTTGAAATCTTTGCATCATATCTATTATATGTTTCTTCGCACAACCCCAGATTTGGACGCCATAGAGCCAGACCGGCTTGAAGACTTGTTTATAGATCATAAGCTTATTTTGCTGAGATAATTTAGATCTCCTTCCAATAAGCCAAGTTAACTTTTTGTATCTTATTTTTAGCTCATTTAATTTTTTCTTGACGTGTACCTTCCATCCCAGTTTGGCATCTAGAGTCATACCTAGATATTTCGCAGAATTTGCAACTGGAATTTTTACGCTATTTAGAAATAATGAAATTTGATTTTCTCTTTTGTTAGTAAAGTCTACATGATTAGATTTTGAACTGTTTACTATCAGCTTCCATTTATTTGTCCATTGTTCAATTTCTTGAAGAGCGATTTGAAGCTTAGTGGTAGACACCTTGTTGTTTGGACCTGTAGCCATTAATACCGTGTCATCTGCAAAAGTTCCAACAATACATCTTGGATTCACTGGCAAATCATATGTGTACAGCAGGTACAGCAATGGGCCTAGTATACTCCCCTGAGGGACCCCGCGATTTATAGGATATAATTTCGAATACGCGTCAAGTAGTTTAACTCGATAGTACCTTTCGCCAATATACGATTCCAGTAGTTTACAATATTGCTGTGGCAGGATAGTGTTTAACTTATATATCAGGCCAGAGTGCCAAACCCCATCAAAAGCCTTTGATATATCCAGAAACACAGCTGAACAAGTTTCTTTGTTTTCTAATGCCTTTTCTATTTCGTGCGTAACTCTGTGTACTTGTTCGATTGTTGAGTGTTTTTTCCGAAATCCAAACTGATGATTTGGGATAAGATTTCTTTGACAAACTACTTTTTCAAGTCTTTTACAGATAAGCTTTTCGAACAGTTTTCCTATGGTTGGCAGGAGAGAGATTGGTCTATATGAAGTTGGAGAATGTTGGTCCTTATCTGGTTTTAGTACCATCACAACTTCAGCAACTTTCCAATAGCTAGGGACATGATTTAATTTTATACTCGCATTAAATATCTGTGCAAGTTTGGCTACTCCTTTTGGAGGTAGCTTTTTCAACACTTCACTAGTTATGAGGTCATATCCTGGTGATTTCTTTAATTTCAATTTTTTGATTTCCCCAGTTACTTCTTTATTTTTTATCCGCGAAATAGCTTCATCATCTATGTTGTTATTTGGCTCTATATGATGGGTTTCTTCTTGATTGAAGGTATTACTTAAATATTCAGCCAAAACATGTGCCTTTTCAATATTGCTTTTCGCCCATTCATTATTATTTTTTTTTAATGGAGGATTATGTGTGATCGGTCTTTTATATTTTTTCATAGCTTTCCAGAGAGAATAGTTAGTTTTGCTATCATATGTCAAGTTTGTAAGATATTTCTTAACATTTTCATTTTTAAAATTGCTGATTTCTCTTCTTAATTTTTGAGTGGCATTATTAAGGTTTCTTTTATCTTGTATTAATCGTGATTGTTGCCATTTTTTACGTAGTTTTCTTTTATTATAGACTAGATTTAAAATTTCGACCGGATAGATTTTATCAAATTGCTTACTATTCTGCAGTGGAGAACTGCGCCATGCCGATGTTTGAATCAAGCTTGTAAAGCAATGCGTTTCACTCTCTAGGTCATTTATACTTCTTATTTTGCAGGATAGGTCAATATTTTCATTTATCTGGG